ACTTTCTTTAATCTGCTTCTTTTTTCGTGCACACACATACCACATACATATTGAATGGTACATATTTTATTGGTAAGTACACTGTGTTTCAATAACAGAGATAAATTTGATTGAATGGGAGACAGTAATCAAGCCAAAACAATAAATTATGGATTATCGTCAGAAAAAATATCTGTGGCTTTGGGACTATAATATAGAAATCCAAAATCACTCAGAAGCCAAATCTTAAAGATGAATTGTTCTTTTATTAGTCTGTATGGAGTAGGTCTATAGTACTGGAATCTAATACTGTTGTGGTACCTGCCATTGGTTTTTATTGCTCCTTAATCGTCCTTTGGAAAGGCAATATTCTATAGTGACATCACTAAAGACACCATGAACCAATGGATCAAGCCAGTAATTCTAGCTACTTGAGAGGCTGACAATGAGAAGACCATGATGCCAGGCCAGAGCATGCAGAAGAGTCTACAAGATTCCATGTCATGGAAGCAAAGCTGCCTGTGATACCCTCTATGACAGGAAGTTGAAAGTAGGCTGACTGTGGCTGATGTGCATGCTTAGGCAGGAATTGAGACCCTTTCTTAAAAATAACCAGGGAAAAACAGGGCTGGAGGCATGGCTCAGTGGTATCATGCCAGCCTAGAATGAGGTCTGGAGTTCAAATCCTTGACCTTAGTACTGGCACACAAAGAAGAGATAAACTCAAACATCCCCCTCATCCACAACCATCACCTTTATAACAAATATCTCTCATAAACCATGGCATTACTATGTATCATAAAATGGGTATTTTACATTCAGAGAGGAAGGACACAATGTTGTCCAGCATCTACAGTATTAGTAGGGGTGGGGAACATTTTTCTGCCAAGGACTATACAAAATATCAATATGGACAGATAGCATAGAAAATCAATGAGAAGCATACATCTTCCATAGACCAGTTGTTTCTTCTAGACACAACCAGGATCAAACATCATTTGAGAGGTGATTGTATTTTCCCATCGAGGGTGGCTATGTCTCCTAAGAAGCATCTAAGGAAGTGGAGGTGGTGGCAGTGTTATCAGTTTATTTTATATTCTTTCTACAAGTTTGTTATTCCAAGGACAATCAGCCTATGGTCAGCACAATCTGCATGTTGTTTCGCTGTTGCTCTTTTGATGTAATGTCATTATTGCTATTGCACCTGCCCTGTAGTGACCAAATATCACTCATCAAAATCTGATATTCAGTAATGGAGGAAGAGTATATCTTTTAGTATGAATGATTTTATTATGAATATAAGCTTTAAAAGGGGGAAAATAATGCCTTAAGAGGATCTGGCCAAATGGGTAAAACACAGCTGTGATTTATTTTTAGTCTATAAACACAATCACTCTCAGGAGATGAACAGGTAGTGCCTCATAAACTTTGAGTTTAGTGTCTTGTCATTTTTTAATGACCTTACATTTTAGCCCAGTAGATCATAAGATCCATGAGATCAGGAATATTGTCTATTTTATCAAAACCCCCAATGTTCTATACAGTGTTTGGTCCAATGGAGTAGATGACTGGGAATATTTGTAAATGGACCTCTGGGGCTTTGAACTTCTCTTCAATGCATGGATCTGTGAAACTTAAATTTCCAAGATGTTTAAAATTTGATCTCTGTAAGTTTTAAGCTAAAGGCATGATTACTTTTATTCATTTATTTTTGGCAATACTGGGGTTTGAGTTTAGGCCTTCGTGCTTTTTAGGCAGGTGCTTTACAACCTAAGCCATGTCCCCAGCCCTTTAGATTTATTTTTCATATGTGCTTTTGCTCAGGGCTTGGCCTACCTGTGCCTCTCAAGTTGGGGTGATAGGCATGTCCTGCCATAGCATACCTGACAAGTTGGTTGGGATGAGGGTCTTGCTACTTTTTTGTCTGGCTTGGCCTAAGTTGCTGTCCTCCTGATCTCTGCCTCATGAGTAGCTGAGATTATAGGCATCCCTTGTGTTTTATTGCTTTTAAAGACATACTGGGGCTGAAATAGTGGCACAGGCCTATAAACCCAGTACTCAGAAGGCAGAGGCAAGACAATTGAGAGTTCTGGGCCAGCCTAGAATACATATTGAGACTTGATAACTAAGCAAGCAAAATAAACAAAACAACAAAAACAAACCCTGGCATTGATCCTGTGGGATTTTGGGTTTTTATATTTTTGGGTGCTGATTCTGGGGCTTGAACTCAAGGCCTTTTGTTCTCATTTGGCTTTTTTTTTACACCACATCTGCAGTCTGGCATTTTGCTTGTTCTTGGAGATAGTGTTTTGGAGACTTTTCTGCCTGGGCTGGCTTTGAACTGTTATGCTGAGATCTCAGCCTCTAGTGTAGCTATGATTACAGATGTGAGTCACTGGTGGTACCCAGCTGTGAAATGTGTTTTTGAAACAGGACTTTCTTTCTCTTCCCCTGAAATCACTGTCAAAGTCAGGTGTATTTTCCTTTTCTGCAAGAAAGTACTGGTAGACTGTTCCATAACAGATTTAGAAAGTGTGTGTGTGTGTGTGTGTGTGTGTGTGTGTGTGTGTGTGCATTGAGTATATTGGATAAAGGGACTTGGAGAGAGATTTTTTTAAAATTCTCTTTCCTATTTCTCATTTTGTGGTGGTGGTTGTCATTGTTACCATAATAGTCTTCTTTTTCTTCTTCTTCTTTTTTTTTTTTTGGGTCCGGTCATGGGGCCTGAACGCTGTCCTTCAGCTCTTCAGCTCAAGGCTAGCGACCTACCACTTGAGCCACAGCGCCACTCCAGCTTTTTTCTTTCTGCTTATGTGGTGCTGAAGAACCGAACCCAGGGCCTCATGCATGCAAGGCAAGCGCTCTACCACTGAGCCACCTTCCCAGCCCTTCTTTTTCTTCTTTTCTTCTTTCTCCTCCTCCTTCTCCTCCTCCTATCCCTTTCCGTCTTCTTCCTTTCCCTTCTCCCTCCTCATCCTCTTCCTCCTCCCTCTCCTCTTCCTCTTTCTCATCATTTTCCTCTTCCTCTTCTTTGTTCTCTTCCTTTTCCTTTCTTGTAGTAACATGCAACCAAACCTCCTCTAAGAGAACAACCTTCTCCTAAAAATTGAGAAGTATAGAAATGACCCCTGAAGCTTCAGGTTGGTTTATGCTGTGCATAATACTGAGTTAAGGGTGTTTTCTCTTTCTGATGATGCAGGTGGATGAGATGTGAGATTCTAAATATTCTCCTCCTCTTCCTCTTTCTGATTTGGATGATAAGGTACAAAGTGGGTAGATTCATAATCTCTTTTCCCATTTTTCTTAAGACCAAATTTGGAAAACCAAGGAATTTGAGTGGTGTGAGTATATTCAGAGACTGTGACATCTGCTTAGAAAAAAAAAAAGTCACACGCATTCTTAAACCCACAGTTTGGATGTTTACAGATGAGGAAAATGGAGTAAGCCTCTAGAGCAGTTGTGAATGTCTATAAACTTTCTTGATCCATGTATTTGATTGTTTTGATTGTCTTAGAAAATAGGAGCAGAGGAACTGCAGTTTAGAAATCTAGGCTTAAAGAATTCATTGTTTTCTAGTTCATGTTCATAGATACTGAATTTGGGTTTCCTTGTCCCCGAGTCCTACTTGGGACATAAATTAGTTGCAGGTTCTTTGGTGGGTGACTGGGTCAAGCCACAGGAATTAACCCTCTCAGCCCCCCTTTCTTCTCGTCTCTGAGGATGCTGACATTGATCCTTTTGTGTTTTTAATTTTCTTAATGTAAATTAGGTTAAACATTAGGAAGAACTATGCGATTCTGTAACATGATCTTATGTTTATTGTAACTCCCTTGCATTTTACCTCATTTCCCCTTGAGGTGAATTTTAAGGAGCTAAAATGAAGAATTAAATTGTTTTTGATAGTGGACACTTTTTCTTTCTATTGGAGCCCATAGAAAGCTAAGAAACAAATTTGGGAGACACCTCTCACAAGGACTTCATCACCTTCACCTTGTGTGATAGGCTCATTTCTCCATCCATTTTCTGCCTCTTTGTTGCCTTATTTCCGTGTGCTAATTTATGCATTCTAAATGTATTATATGTACATCGACATAAGAGTCCTTAAAGCCTATCTAGAATAAGACACTGAGTAAGAAGCAACCAAACAAACAAATATTTCTGCATCTGTTTTTTTTTTTTTTGTATTTGGGGGTAGACAGGCACCTGTTCTCAATAGAGAAATCTGGAATTTGTTATTCCAAAATGCCACCCACATGTGTGCAGCAATAGAGTGTTTATTGGTGAAGCTTTTTTTTTTGACTGAAAACAACTTTAAATTCTTAGCTGATACTGTTTTAGAATTGGAGAGAGGAAATGTTCAGGATGAAATAATGTTTATTTGTTTTGAGAGTGGCCATTTTTTGTAATACATTTTAATAAAAGCTTTTACCTATACCATCAATAAGTATTTTAAAATGTTCTTTATCACTTAAAGACAGATTCTCTTCCAAATGTAATTCTCAATATCTTTTAGTGTGCCCTGGTTTGGGACAGAGTTCTGTGTTATTTTCAGAATAGGGACAGTGCCTTGTGGAACTGATTTTAATAATTTGAGTATTGTTAATTGTCATAATTTATCATAATTTTATTTTGTTTGCACTGTATGTAATACACAGATTGACTTTGTATTAGTTCTTTTCTTGGTTAATTTTGTTAGCCTAAGTCTGTTACCTAAGTTGGAACCCTGCTAGGATCAACAGATAATATAAATACACAATTTGGTTTATTGATAGGTCTATAGCCACATGTTTGAGTCTCAGAATATCTTCTAGTCTGTTAAGCTTAAGTCTCAAGGAAAAATTTCTTTTCTTTGTCTAATTCTGAGTAAAGATCTTAAAACACATGTATTATCATCACCCCCAAGTTTTCTAGGCTCTTTGTATCAGAATAACCAGAACAAGAATATTAGGCAAACCCAGATGGCATGTTGTGCCAGGCCAATACACAGATGTAATTCAGTAAAACTTATTTTCTCTTTTCAGTTCTGTCTGGAGGACCATTGCCCCAAGGGCATGAATTTGAGCTGTATGAAGTTAGATTTCATTGGGGAAGAGAAAACCAGCGTGGTTCTGAGCACACCGTTAATTTCAAAGCTTTTCCCATGGAGGTAAGAATAAGAACTGTCTTGTAAAAATCTTGTTGCTTGGTAAAGAATTCTATACATTCCCCAAAACAGTTGGTTTAAAATTGAATGCATAATTCTTGGATTTTATCAGTTCGTAGAATATAATGAAATGTTAAGCTTGGGCTAGCTGGTGAGGTTTTCTTCCTACTTACTGGGTTTGGAATGTGTAGGCAAGCAATTGGTCATAATGATGATCCACACATTTTCTTTTCTTATTAGCTTATGTGCATTATACAGACGTTCATTGTGATACTTTCATACATGTCCATTATATAGTTTGATCTGCTTTCTCTGGTCTGTGTTACTCTTTCTTATCTCCTTTCCCTTTGGTCTGTACTTGTAAGGCTCACCTTGGTATAATTCCTTTCTGTTGCCTGTGTAAATTTGGTAGGTCACTTCTCCAGATGCTCAAGTAGGAGATGAGCTGGAGACAACTGTTGAAAAATCTCTGCAGTAGTTTAAAAGTCTAGTTCAGTTCACTGATAGTTTAGTCACTGAGGACAGGGAATCCTAGAGAATGAGCAGAGAGGGAATCCTAGAAAATAGTCACTTTATCTGAAGTTTTCCCTCTCCCACTTACCTTCTTAGTGAATGTCCACTTTTTCTCACTATCTAGTTGAAGTGTCTTGTCACTCCTGAGACTTCTTCTGATTTCTTTCCTTAGGCCAAATTCTTCTTTCTGTCCTCCTGGTATACATGCTAGTTCTTATACATCAAGGTCTGATATGCATTTCTTGCTGCTTGTGCTGTTCAGGACAGGGTCTCCCTTTCATTGTTCTGTTGATGCCCTTCCCTTAGCACGCTACCTGTCACGTCATAGTGGCATGTTGGTGAAGTTGAGGGGATATTCCAGATGGGCCAGGCTTTGTTTGTATTTCTTTCTATAAGGAACCTCAGTTTTCCTCAGGAAACAGTTGTTTTCTGGCAGGTGAGTGTATTTTTTCCTTTTTATTCCCTCCCTCTCATCTTCCCTTCTTTTCTTCCATCCATTCACTTGAGTATTCTTCTCCGCTGGGTGATCTAATCCATTTTAAGCCTTTAGGTTTTAATATATGTGCTTGAGATGTTATCTCCACCTCGATTTATATAGGCAACTATGTAGTAGATTTTCTGATCTGGGTGCCTGATAGACATGACAGATTCAGTACAACCCAACTCTTAAAAGAAGAATAAATTTAGAGCTGCTGGAATGCTAGTCTTTCTCCTCTGCCATTTCCAATTGCACACATGCTTAATATCACATGTAGAATTGCTCATGGCCAGATAGCTTATCTACTACCAACTCAATGATGGGAAATCCCTACCATATAATTTATATATATATATATATATATGATATGTGTAATTTAAAAGATTAAGTTGGAGTATTTCTTAGCATTACCTTAATTAGAATTTTAAAAATCCTTTTGGAAAATAAGGATATTTATTTCAGTAAAAGAAAAGACCTGGACTTTAAAAGTGAAATGTGACATGTTTTAAGGATTGAGGGAAATATCCCAAATTCTAGTATGTTAGAGAATGTCTGAGGAATGTGATTGTGATGATAATAGAGAATAGAGGTTCTCAAAGGCCTTGTTTGGAAAGATCTTCATGTTTCTCTCCTTTTCCTAGGAGCTTTTTTTTAAAAAAAGATTTAAAAATTAGCATATATTATTTGTACAAGGGGGTTTCATTATGACATTTACATAAATATATATGTGCTATGTGAAGGTGGGTAGTGAAATTAGGGCCTCATGCTTGTTAGACAAGTACTCATTGGATCCTCAGCTCTCTAGGTATTTTTGTTTTTTTTTTGTTGTTTTTAATGCCTAAATGTATCCTCTGATTTCTACTACCTTAAAACTATTCTTTGTCACCTCCGGTTCCTGTCCTGTCCTTAGAAAACCTGAAGAGGAAAAGTTCACAACCAAACACATGAGCAAAGAGGACTCCAAACAAGGTAGTCCAAAACAATGGAAGTGTCTGGCCACATAGGGAAGGGTAAGAGGACAACAGGACAAGTCCTGCCTGCCCTCCTTTTTGACTGCATCTTATTTTCTTGGTTTTGTTTAATTTATGTTGATTGTAAAGGTGATGTATAGAGGGGTTACAGTTACAAAGGTTAGGTAATGAGTACATTTCTTTTTTAACATTTGATCCTCAGCAGGCTCCAGTAATCATAGGCTTGGGGTGAGATGGATGTAATTGGGCAGGCAAGGCCTTCTGGACAGAAATGCCACAGTTTGCTTGTGGCACACTGTTTGTAGTTCAGGGAAAGTTTAATTTGATTATGGAGCCAGTGATCTGTGTTCTCTGTCTGTATAGTCAGGATTTGGGGACCAAATGTACCAACAGGTCCGGGTACTTGATGCTGTTTTCATTGCTCTGGTCCATTTAGCATAGGTAATGGATTGTTTTCAGTGAAGATTAAATGTTAACAGTTACGACTTTGCTTCTGCAGAAATATTTATATTTAAGACAATGGAATTAATGGATTGTATTTAGGGAGTAATATTTATTTGCTTTGCAATCTCAGATTATCCTTGATGTAATCCCTGATAAAATGCTTGCATAAGTCACCTGGCTTTTGTTTATGGCTGTATCCTATTGTGTGAATAAATGAGGTGGGTGTACAGAATTAGAGGGAGATACCTGTGTGCCAGTTTTTAAAAATAAAGGCTGTGAGGGCACTTGGTAATTGGAGAGACTCCACATAGAAGTACATTGCAGGAGTAGTAATGTGTTGACAAATGTAGTGTTGCTGGTCCCTGTTCTGAACAGCCACTAAAGATCACCTGAAACACAAGAATATGAGCAACAAGACGGTGGAGGGAGAGGGAACCAGTTTCCTTTTAGAACACATTACTTATTTTAATATATTTATTACTTGAGAATCTTATTCATATTTCACATTTTAGGGCCAATTTTAATGTCACAGTTACCTCCATGCATCAATTCCCTTCTTGGTTTCATTAAAATTATGTCTGGTTTGTTAAACAAATACAGTAAACAAATGTTTGCCATGTTGTTACCTGTATTATATAGCTTTTCATAGAACTCTGTGAACTCTGGGAGACTTTGACATTTTAAGATTACTGCAAGTATAATAATAATATACTGAATATATTTTTTACGCTTTTTTCCTAAGCTACAATTAAATTTTATTTTGGCTTCACCAGTAGATACATGTGTTATTTTTACAAACCCTATTTCCTGTATTCTGGTCCCACTCAGAAATTAGATGTTTAGCTTTATATATTTATTTATTTTTTGCACTCTCTGCCTGGACCATCTTTATTTTATTATCTTTAAGAGGTGTATTCAATACAACATGCTTATTTGTAAATAATGCATCTTGATCATTCTCGCTCCGTTCATCATTCTCTTCCACCTCTCCCAACTTCACTGGAATCACTACCAACACTACTTCAAAAATTGACACTGCAATTTTTGCCACCCAACTCTGTCACCTGCAGCTCTTTCTCTAAGCAAGGTGGATAAAGCATACGATTTGTGTTTTCCCCAACTGAGATTTTTCAGTTTTCAGAAACATGCTTCTACAGCTATCTGACATATCTGACCACGCTTGAACAGCTGAGTGCTGTTACAAATAGTTCAGGTCTAAATGTCAATGCCTTAGCAAGAAAAAAAAACTGGGTTGCATTTCCTTTCCTGTTACCCCTAAATATACTATGTATGCTCATACATTAAATATACTATTACAAATGTGTGGGTCCTATTTGCCCGGTGGAAATCTTTGAATTGATTTGAGAGTATTTCGCTTTCTTATTATTTAATCAAGACCTTAACATGAGTAGAAGGTTGTTGATTTCAGACTTTGAGATCCACCACAATTCTTGCAGATTTGTTCTGGATCTGTGGAAGCCTTTTGTTTTCTTTGAACATGGTGAGCATCTTGGCATATGAATTCCAACTTTACTGGCGGTGCCATTATTCTAACACAGGTATGCTCTGTGTACTCACCTCTTTGCAGGAATTGTATGCCATCCCCATTAATTGTTATTCTACAACTGGAACTTTTGGATATTTAGGTTCACAGCTTCACATTCTAATTTCACTATATTTGTCTGTGGACAGACTATAGAAGCAATCAATTCTTTGCTGCTTCAAAACAGCCAAACTCTGTGATCTATATAGTTTTTGGCAAATTGTGGTCAGTCTTTACACATAAAGAGTTACTCTCTGAGTGATTCTCAGGCATTTGCATTTTATGCTGGATCAATAAAATTGAAAAAGAAAAGTGATGAGGCAAACAATTGATAAAGAACAGATCTTTAATTGCCAAATGGAGGAGGGACATGGTCTGAGAATAAGCCACTGACCTTTACAAATTGAGTAGATTAAGTATTTTAAAAACTTGCTACATTATTTCTATTTTCATCTTTCACTGCAGGTACATAGAACTTTCTCAGGGTTGGGCACTGTTTTGGCCCACAGACCAGCAGAGTATGTATGGTCATAACCTTCTCACCTTCTTGGCCTAAAAGTCTGTGACTTATAGTGTATTGCACAGCAAGTGATCCAGTTCTTTTGTGGGCAGACCCTTATCTTTATTTATGTTGCATTTAAAGAGCTTTATTTGCTCTCTGTATTCTGAAAGGGATTTAGTGATAAACTACCCACATATGAGCTGTTCTGGGAGATTTAGTGCATTATGTCAATAGAAGGAAAAATAGCAGTTCATTGTACAGAGAGGATCCGTTAATTGTGAACAGTTGAGGCCTTGGTTCCAAGAAAGGCCAATGATAATGTTATGAAGACCGTATCTCATAATATAATTATAATACTAACCACTACAATTGTTCCCTTTCCTCTTAGCACTGGTCCATAGGGTCCACTTTTCCAGATCCCTATACTTCTTCCTTCTTTTCAGGCAAATGGAGGAGACTGTTATGAAATGTTCTCGTGGTAAATTGATCATTTGCATATTTACCTGAGAGTATATATTGTTTAATTGTTTTTGGTGTGTGTGTGTGTGTGTG